CTCCCTGTTTACGGATGCACTCAACTTGGACTGAAGAATTCTGATTTGCAAAAGCTGAATTTGGATGCTAAAGGCTTCTCATAAGATTTAAGGATTCTAAACTAAATGTCGAATGAGAAGTGTGGCTTATTTTGATAAGTTTTACATTTAAAGTCATACAAAATAGCATTATGGAGTAAGCAGCTCCTTTTTTATTTTCACTTCTCATAGCAGCATAGATTTTGCACCCAAAACACAACAGAAGACGTCACACTATTTCCCTTGAAATATTTTTTTTAAATTGGTTGACTTTAGAAAGGATGAACTTGAACTTATACACTTCATTCATAACTCTGCACCATGGATTACCAAGTCTTTAATTTATAGCCTTCTCTGTTTTTCCACTTGTTCAAAACACTAATAGTGCCAACATTTCCACAAAGCATTCAGAAGCAAAACATGGCCAGATTCACAGATGCTTCTGTCTCTCTCTCTGACTGTGATCCATATATAAACCTCTAGTGAACATGCATGGTTTAGACCCTGTAAGCATGTCAAGTGTATTAACAGTAATACTCTCTCCCTGGTTAATCTTTTTGCATTATTATTTTTGCTTTCATTTTTAAGTGGAAAGAAAAAATATAACGTAAGAGATCTAGTGCAATTTACTAACTTTGATGCCTTTGGGAGTCAGAGGGAGTAACTTACTTAACACAGCCATGATGCTTTGGTGACTTCTTCCACCTGATGGAAGAAATCATGAAACTGTCTCCCTCTCTACAAACCCACATGGGCCTCAGTGTTCACTGTGTCAGGAGGAAGGGACTGCAATTGTCATGTTTCTTTTTTTTTTCATTCTTATCCAACTTTTAAATACTTTTCATGCTGTCCTAATTGTGTTTATCAGAGAATTGGACTTCTTCTGAAACAAATACTTACACTGCATAACTTGTTTCAGGGATAGCACTGCTGTTTCCTCCAAACTCCGCCATTTCCCAAAAAGCCAAATTGTGCCCTATGGCTAAAATATAGCTACTCCCTTGTCTTTCTGGAATAACTCACATATCAGAAACAACCTTTTGTTCAGTAATCGCTCACACGCCTGGACAGCTCACAGTAGTCAGCTAATGCTGATTGTATTTGCCGCTGAGAGTGTGCCCCGTGGCAGTTCCTTCAGATCAGCAGCCAGCCCTAACCTGTCACTCCAAAGCAACATTTGTGTGACTGTGCTCTAATTACTCATTCTCCTTGTTCAGGTGACCATGTGACTTTATGACTTGTTAATCTGTGGAGATACTACATCTCCTAAAGCATTTAAGACCAATTGACAGTATTTCAAACAATTCCCACTGTGGCTACTCATAGTGCAACAGCTGGCCTGCTCTAAGGCTCTACCTGTTGGGGGATGGTTCTTGAAGAGAACTTGCAGAACAGGCTAAATTAAGTATTTTTGAAAATTTCTAGACAGATAAAGCCCATTTTAATAAGCCAAGGTTATCCTTATTCTCTGGATAAATAAACCATATCTCTTCACTACACTCAGCATGTGAAGGTTCTCCCTGGATTTTACTCCTGTTTCTATCAGTTTCCTGTTGCACAGATGAACTATATGAGTTTTCCTTAAAACCACCCCAATATGGCCATTGATATAACAATGAGCTAATGGTCTTTTGTTTCAGGACAAAAGGGAGTGGTCCTTCCAAGCTGCTGTTCTGTGGGGAAGGAGCACGCACAGACTTTAAGCTGTCTGATCAAAGCACACCTATTGATTAAATTACAATGAAAACAAAAACGTCAGGTCTAGATTTTGGAACTACATGAAAGTAAATGCCAGCTTATGAGCACAGCCTCTTTATGTCTCAAAAATACCTTTCTCCTTCATAAGCAGTGCCATTGATTGAGATGCTATTCAGGCAAATGTCTAAGAACATTTTGTTCAGTAATTATTGTAGGCTTGAGCACACAGATTATAGAAGAAAAATCTATTTTAAGCCCAAAACCCAGTGTGCCCTTCACTGCAGGCATGGCTGTGACTAACAGAGATGTCATGCTTATTATTTTACCAGATGCAAAAGCTCAAAACAAGCTATTGAGCTCATTAAAGACACAAAGCATGGGATAGCATCCAACAGTCATAGCAACAAATTACTGGGCTCCAGGCAAACTAGCTAACTACAAATTGAAGTGGGAAAAAAGAGTGAGCATAAGATATATAGTAATCATACACAGCAAACACAGAAGTCAAACCAACAGGTCTTTGAGCTGTCAAGAAGGAATATACTAAATTCTAGCATATCTTGGTGACTAACAGATGAAAAACTGATTTTTATTAAAAAATTGATAAAAAAAACCCCACCATAAAATAAGGAAGTACTGCAGCCTGGGTTCTGATTAATACTCTTGCCAGGTCAAACATCATACAGCTAGAAAACATATTTCTTTAAAAACACTTTCATGTCAGTGAGGCTATGTACCCCCTCCCTTCAAGCATGCCTGCTGGACTTCTGTGACTTTAGCAGAGTTCTAACTTCAGAAGAGCTCTAAGCAGACTGGAAATCCTACTGGCATTGTTGAACAAAGACATCATTTTTCACCTCCTCTGTTAGACGGCTATAAGTCATTGTTAAAAATGTGGAATTAAAGCAACCTCTCTGAATCCAATTAGCAAAACAGAATAAAAAACCATCAACTTCTTTCATCCATAAAGATGAAACAACTGTGCTGGTCAAAGTGCTAAGTTTCATGTAGACTCCTTGTGAAACTTTAAGCTACCAAAGAAATAGAATCTTCATTATGAAAAAGTCGTCAGCTTAAGAGGTCTGTCAACAGATACGAAGGGTCATCTTCAATGCACACTCCAGTATCTGCTTTTGCAGAAGTGTCAGGAAAAAGAAAGTCATTAAAGAGAAACAGCTAAGTCTAACACAAAGAATATGTTCCTTTCATACAAGATTCTAAACCTTGGAGTTGGCTTCCTGAACACAGTAAGATTTTAAAAAGAGCATTTTACAGTAGGTATTCAGAATCTCCAAAAGAAGAGGTTAAAGACTAAAATAAATTCTTCATGGAATCATTGTATTTTAAAGTATCCTACGATAATACAAAAGAGTTCGGCAACGTACTGAGTATGACTCATTTTTCATGGAACTGTCTTAAAAATAAATCACAGAAGCTCTTTACGAATTATCTCCCTTTGAAAAGACTTGAAAGACCAGACTGCAGATTGTTGACATGAAGATGTCAGATGAAAAGAAAAACTATTCAATCCATTTTATTGCACATTGGATATATTTTTGTTGAACTGGGCTATGCACTCTCATGAATCACAATTCTAAGATGCCAGGAAAAACAGACAGTTTTAAGACTTATTTAAGGGATATTTATAACTGTTGACCACTATGTGACTTAAAATATAGAGCATAATTTTAAAATTGCCAAATGAAAGTTATAAAAGTCGATATTCATTAAATTATGATCATTTACATTTTGATGGTCCGTAGTAGCTTTAAAATTGTTATGAAAACCTTTTGCATGCCTTTTTACGCTGTGATGGCTAAATCCCTGCAGAATTATTAGGACTTGACAGCTCTACATAAAGTTGAAATAATGGGGTTTGGCATCTGAGAGATCCTTAATCCTCTTCCATCAATACTGCTGCAATAATTGCAAATGTCAGGCTAAAATGACTGTGAGCCTCAGATATCTGTCACTTACAATTACACCAATAAAATCGGTATGATTATTACACTCTATGTTCTATTACAGAACCACAATACTGAAAGCATAATTACTCCAGCATGTGCACTTCTTTTCAATATAAAGAAAAAAAATTTACAAAAACCCTCAAAACCTGAAAAACCCCCCACCCATTTGGGCTTTCAAGCAAGTCATACTCAACTATCAGAAGAAAATTTTCCTCTTCCACAGGATGGGACAAACTGTAGTTTCTATATCATCCATATATATGAAGAATGGCATTTATCCTATCACTGAAAGCAACAGCTGCACCAGACATATTTTAATTAACAGAAACCAACAGTATTTAGATATACATGTGCAGTCTTATGAGCAGCCTCTTCAGAGCAGTGTCATGTGATATTTGCAATTTTATCCAAGAACTGGTTTTTGTCATGCTCTTCCTTGAGATAATCTAGCACTACTAAATATTCTCTGGTGGTTTCAAAAAAAAAAAATATTCAGATACATTATAAAAGATTGCTTGTCATTAGTATCATTGGATACTGTGAATTATCACTGTTATTGCAAAGGTAATGGCTTGTGAAAAAGCTGGCAGAATGTGAGGTCAGCGTTACACAACGTTACACAGTTAAAACTATTTCTGTTAATTACAGATTCTGAGAGTGGCCATTAGATAATTTAATATACAGTATGAAATCAGTGTTTGATTTTTGATCTCTTCCACTCTCTACAACTTTAGGTGAGTTGAGTTCTAAACACTAAAAATAATCATAATAATAAAAAACACAAGCATTTTACAGTCTGTGAACTGAATGAGTAATAAATGCCCCTTATGAAAAATCATGTTCTTTTAAAGATAACTCTTCTAAATTTCCTTGGAATCACAGCTATTTGTAGCAGCATTCCAGTTAAACTTTCACCAAAAAAAAATTAATCTAGTTAAGGACGAAGCTTTTAGAAAAGGGCAGTTCAGTGGTATTTTTGAGAGAGTTCAATTTTTTTATTAGGATTCCAGTGGAGGAAGTAAATTTGAAAAAGATTGCTTAATTTGTATGAAGTTTCAATTTTTGGATTTTCAAGTGCATACATTAAATCCTCAGTTCAAAATGTATGTAATCAGAAACATGAAAGATTCCATCCATTTCTCCCACAGAATCAAGCCTCACAGGAGAAAAAGACAGATTTCTTACATGAATCATCATCTTTAAATTATACCTTCATTAAGTATAATTTATAATAAATTATAAATCTTCATTAAGTCACAACACGTAAATTGTGAGAATTAGGGGCATTTAAAATTGTGATAAGACCTGGATACTTACATGAGCTTCTTGTCTCAGATAGCCTGATGTCCACTGGAAGGAAATCTTGGCTTACAGGCTGGAAGACATGATACATACTTGTCAAGTGTGGATAACTGAAGTACCAGGACTGAAGAGCACAACTTTGAGAACCTCTGATCCACAAGTATTCTTACATAAAAAGGGAAAATAGTGAGTGCTTATTTCTCTCAAATAAATGAATTATCTATATACTGGAAATATAATGTGAAATAATATACATATGTCTCTGTAGGTTACATTCAAGAGTCTGGGCCATCTGAGCTCCTAAGCAGTATTGAAGCAGGGCTTTGAGTCTCCTTTAACTAATTTTACAGTTATAACCCCCATTGCCACAGAGTCAAGTCTAAAAAAAGATGAAACAAGTAAGATGTATGAAACAACCAGACCCAAAGCTTCTAGAATAACAGGCCATGCTAGTGCTGCATATCGAAATGATTGTTGCAAATGCATCTGATCCATCAGATATCATGCCATATATTCAGACTTCCTAATAAAACTGGCAATTTTCATCTGGGATTTAGTCCAAGTCCTATTCTAGGTGAAATAATTTTGCAGAACCTCACAGTTGTTATAAGGAAGAACAGATTATTCTTTGATTCCAATTTGACTCACAAGTGAGGGTCCTTCACACAAATGTTGCTAAGTGATTAACTGGTAACATTATTTTCCAGCTCAAAAAGTACATATTTAATAATGTGATCCCTGAAAAGACTGACTTTTTCAGCAGAGTCTCCATGTGTTGTGGTTTGGAGCTGGCTCCCTGCCAAGTCTCCAACACCACAGCAAAAGCTTCCCCCCCAAAAAAAACCCAAAGGAAATGAGAAAAAAAACCCAAGAGACCCAAAATAAGAGAGCTAAAGCAATATATAAATATATTTACACTTATATTACATTTATATACAATTACAAAGATTATGTACACATGAGAAAGAAGCCCCCAACACCCCCAAAGGAAAAGGGACAAAACAAAAAAACACTAAAAACAGGTATACACACTCAATAAAGAACCAGTCAAAGAAAATCTTAATACTTTCCCTGAGATAGCACAATTGTGCCAAACGCCACCGCCACACTGCCAGACCCCGCATCGGCAGAAACAGCAGGCCCTGTAGGCCCGACCAGGTCTCAGCTCCCCCACAGGAGCGAGACCCGCCGCGGGAGTCTGCTGGCCCCAAACCTCGCAGAACAGAAGAGAGGAAGAGGCTTCTCTCTCCGTCTATTTATATGTTTGATTACGTAAAGGAATACTTCCTTCCTTCCTTCCTTCCTGGTTACCAGGAAGGAAGGCCTAGACTAAAAACCATTACACCATGGAAGTCCTGATGCAAGACATTGTCCTCTTCTTCCAGTCAACTGAGGTTACAACCTCTAGATTCCAAGCAGTGGGTGAAGGAGAGCAAGGATTTATCTGACACAACCTTGACAGTATTTCTGCCAGTACTTTTAAAATTTTCAGAATGGGAAGAAGTGATCTAGACATCGAGGAGGATAAATGTTGATCATACAGGACAGCTATTGCCATTTAAGAAATGTGCTATAATCTTCTGATAAATTTTTAATTCAGTTAATACAGAACTTCATGAAAAAGAAATATTAAGCAGTAGCATTTCTCAACCTTAGAACAGCCTGAGGAAATTTTTTGGCATTCACATGGCTTTTTGTCATTTTTCTTTTGGCGTCATTCCACAAACAGCTGGTTAGTATAAGAGCTGAATGAATTTTAGATTCATTTATAGAAATCACTGCAAGGAACTGACTGAATATAGTGTTTTTCTTCTTATGCCACATTACTCTCTGTTTCCTAATTTTCCTAGAAAACAAACAGTTCACTTATGCATGCAGCATCATAATTTTTTGACTATGTATATGAGATATAAATCCATAGCTACATGTTAATCATTACATGTTACTGAAAAAAACATTTATTACTCACTAATATGCAAAGAATGTGCAACCTGTGGGACAGAACCAACTTGTGAAAACTTGTTAGTGTATCTGCTCCCAGAACTTTCTTAAATAAATGACAGTGTTTGGGTGTATAAAAACACTGATTCAGGTATCTCTGCATAAGAATGCATTGCATCATTTACCTACACTCAAAATAGTTGCAGAGTCACGTACTGTTCCAGCAAAGACAACCTGAAGAAAGAACAATCTAGTATCTTTTAGCCATCAATCTTCTACTCTCGCAAAACTCCCCAGAGACACTGTATTGATACTGTATTTTTATTTTTATTTTAAACTCAAAGTTGGGATTGTGTTGGTTAAAATTGATCTGTCTTTTCTAACAGGCAGTCTTATAAACTATCGCTGGCGGTTCATTTGCCCTGAAACATGAACACTGTTTTAAATTTTACAGTGTGACCAAACTGGTTAACATTACAATAGAACATGAAAACATTTGTGTTTTCAAGACACATAGATACTGTTTTATCCTGAAGGGAGAAAAATTCAATCCTCATACAATAACTGCGTTGGCTTTTATTTATCTCTGATGATGACAATAATGAATGTCCACCCTCTTCACTTTCAGGTGTGAATTTTTGGGTTCTTTAAACAGCACCTTTTTAACTTTATAATCTAATTTTTTTCATTTCTCACCAGACGTCAAGTCATTCTTTTCCTTTTTCCACAGTCCTCCAGACCATTCCTTCCTTATTAGATCGCTTCCCCATTGCAGTTTCCCCAAATTCTAGCTTCTCCCTCATCTTTTCTCACTGAAGCTTTTCTGAGCTTTGGTGCAAATGAAATATTCACTTCAACCCGTTGAGTTCAAGCTTATGAAAAACATGTCATCAGAGTAACAGTGACATAATTAATCCTAGTAGAATACTTCTTTAAAAGATCACAGTCTTCTCATAATGTATTACCTTAATACTTCATCAGAAAGTTGTTTTCCAAGACATAAAAGACAGTACCAAACTAAAAACCCATTTTATGAGAAAGAAAATAAACTTACACATTTGTCACTGATGGCTTTTCCAAAGAAACTTTATGCTTGTTTTTTGCTTGTTCAAATGGTTCATCATTTCTATTTAGGTACAATGCAAGTCTTTATCTTAACCTGCTTGTTATAACAAGCTGTAACTACAGAACATTTTCAAGTTAATTAAAGTTATATTGCCTCAAGGTTTAAAAAGCCAGTGCAGCTTTTGATCTGTGTACGGGAGTTGTTACAAGAGGGAGGAAGCAGGTTATGTTACTATAGGGTACTTAGCTATTAGTTGCTCTTAGGATTATTCAGTAGTAAAAATGAAAAGTAAAAATAAGAATGTTATTGTGAAATTAGACCCCTGTCCATCCCCACAGTGTTTCATATAAATAGTAACTATGTCTCTTAGAGGAAGAGATGATGAATCACGCAGCCATGTCCTGGTAGCAATGAGCTAGCTGTGTTATCGAAATGAAATTTTATATGCAGTAACCTGAATCAGGCACTCCAGTCTAATAAATTCAATTTTAATGAGAAAGAGAATCAGACTTTATATATGGAAGATGTTGACTCTACTCAAGATGATGCTTATTGCTATGAGTATCACCTACCATTGAAAAAGAAAATGTTCACTGTCATATACAATTTTGAAAAGGGAAGTCAGAAAAGCATTAGATTAATCTTTCAGCATCAAACATATGCTACAGGATAAAGCTGCCAGCGACTTTAAAATGATTACAGGATACACAGCAGGAAGAATTAATTGAAATCAACATGTGTTATTCACTGACTTCAATGAGACCACTATCCAACATTCTCAAAACTCACTGTCAGAATTTTGGCCCTGATAACCAAACTAACCTGATCTAACCAAGAGTAGCGTCATGTATCTAATAAGTGCCCTAACATTTGTACTTTACTGAGTACAGCATTACTGAACCAATACTTTCAAATGAAAACACTGGGAACTTGTCTATTCACTTGATTTCTGCTTCAAATTGTTTGTACAAGATCAATTCAACTCAAGCAGAAGCTGCCCTGCCTGAGCTCATCTTACCACTCTTACCACTTTATCTTAAATTTCACACTGAACTTTTCCTCCTACCCACATCATCTCAGTCTATCTTGACTTGTTGGACTGTCACAAATCTCTGTCTACTGATGAAATAATGTAATTTCTTCCCTTTTCCACTGACACTCCTTAGCATTTTTGTTCTTCCTTCTAGTTTATGGTGAGTGCAAGTTGCTGAAGGATTAGGCCTATCTAGCTCGATCTGATCACATTATGATAGAAAGATTGCTTAATACGGAGCATATAAGCACTTCAGTCAGCTTTGCTGAATCAGGATGATTTCAGTTAGTTCTCTTAATCTTGTTGCCTTATATTGTTTTCATATCATTTTCTCAGAGCTAAAAGTTTAGGCTACTTTTGATTATTTGGTAAATAAATAGTTAATTAGGTTTTTTGTTTGTTCTACAGTACAAATGTGAGGTTTTTGCACAAACTACCCATATATTCAAATTTCTGCTTCGAATTAGTGCTGTTCTTATATGATTACAGTTGCTATAGAACCATTAAAAAAACTTTTTATCTGAGAAAAAAAAAAATCTTCAGTAATTGTCTCTCCATTCTATGCATTTGGGTATGAAGGCTGAGGCACTGGCAGTCTACCAGACTTCTCAATGGATAATTTCCTCTAAATGATGAACTAAAATTATTTTTACTTCAGTATTTTTAGATGCTCTTCCAGATTCCTTTTCATTATTGGTATGAGGAAGTAATTTATCACATTGTTATGGAATAGCCAGCTTATTCTCTTTCTATTTATGTCCCTCTCAGTATATATATACATATATATCTGTTTACTCATTAAAGTAATTAACCACACTCATGCTGCTATCAGAACTAGGAAAATCCCACCACACCATTCTTTGCTCATGCAATTTGAAGTGAAATATTTGAAGTGAAATCTAGAGCGTTCTAACACTGAGCCTTTAGTGTTGTCAGTCAAAATAAGAAGAGAATAACAGTAACGGTCTTTGGAATCTCCCTTGGTAATTCCAGAGTATCTTAGTTAACCCTTCCATCTACTAACTTTTTTCCC